GGAAGCAGGATTAGCAGCAGCAGGCCCTCCCCCTGCTGCTGCTGCTGCTGCTGCTGCTGCTGCTGCTCCTGTTGCTGCTGCAAATGCTTTGCTGCGATCAGGAGTTAAAGAGAAGCAAAGAGCAGAGAAACCCAACACTTTAATGCGGCCACCTGGAAGACCGACGCGAGGCCCCTCTTCGCTGACGCACAAAACCTAAGTGCAGCAGCAGCAGCAGCAGCAGCAGCAGCAGTAAGAGAACAGCGGCAGTAAGAGAACAGCAGCAGTTATACAGCAGCAGCAGCAGCAGCAAAAGTCGTGCAGCAGTACAGCATGCGGCTTGCCACTCCCAATAGCTGCAGCAGCAGAGACAAGATCAATATAGCAAATGCAGCAGCAGCAGCAGCAGCAGCTATTGCGTACAAGTTTATTGCCGACCCAAGAGGTGTATGCACCCTCTAGCAGCAAAACAGCAGAAGGCGGCAGCAGCAATTTTAAGGCTTCTGCTTCTGCTGCGGAAACACCTGCACTTGAGACTGAAGCTGCTGCTGCTGCTGCATCTGCTGCTGCTGCTGCTGCTGCTCCCGAAGCAGCAGCAGACAGCTGCCCATTTCTCCCTCCGCCTCCTGCTGCTGTTGCTGCTGCAGTCGAAGCAGCAGCAGCAGCAGAAGCAGCGGGTCCTGCTGCTGCTGCTGCTGCTGCTGCTCCAGCAGCAGCAGCAGCAGAGCGCAGCAGCCCTAAGGACAGAGCAGCAATAATTGAGCCGCTGCTATCAGCAACACGAAACAACAGTTTGTGCTGCTGTACTCCACGCAGCAGCTGATCTTCTTCTGCTGCTGCTACAACACACAAGACAGATAAACCCTGCTGCTGCGGCGCTAGGCTCCCTATGCACACGCAGTTGCTGCTGCTGCTGTTGCTGCTGCTGCCCCTGCTCCTGCTGCTCACACTGTAGATGCTTCTGTCAGCGGCTGCTGCTGCAGCAGCAGCAGCAGCTGCAGCAGACATCGTCCGTACCCCTGCTGCACTGCAGCACA